AAATCAAGAAGAGATTAGAAAACCTTTACTGGGAACACAGTGTGCTTGGAGTGACAAGGACAGCCATCCACCAATGGGCTTTGAGATGAAGACTGGAGCCACAGGCTTGCCCACGAGTGCTCTTCTGATCTCATTTATCCCGGACTGGCCTCTAACTCACACGCAGCAGAACTGATCTTCCCGCTTCCATCTCTCGAGTGCTGGGATTACGGGGTGCAGCACCTCCCGGGGTGCTTTTATTTTTGGTTAGCATTTCATTTTCATATCATGATCCCCCACCTGACATCCTGAAATACAGACTGTGAGTCACGTATGATTTCAGAGGGTTTTGGAATATAATCCTTCACTTACTATCAACACTGCTGCATTCAGTGCTCCAATCAATCCAGTCTGGCAGGCCCTGTATTTCAAAACTATCACACAAAGACATTTCCCTTTCAAGACATTTCACTCTATTGCTGTCAAAGAGAAACCCATTTAGAGCGAAATCAAAATCAAGGGAGCAGAAATAACTTCATTGGGAGGCAAATGAGTGTGTGTGTGTAGCGAGAATGAGAAGACAATGGAAGCACCCATTCGGAGTCAAGCAGAGACCAGAACCCTGGGTAACGCAGAGCCAAATCCACTCTTACATATTAAGGCTTCCTGCAGACAACTGACAACATGGGTAAGTTAAAGGATTCTTGTCTTGGCAATGTTCTCAGTAACAGAACAGTCAACCAAAGATTCACAAAATCCCGTAAGACTTTGAGAAATGGGTTAATGCCTAAAGCAAGGAGAGGAGACTTGGGAGCTGCCCTGGCTGCCTGCTGAGGGATTGCATATGGCAGAAGAGAAGGGATACCTGCCTGTGTGCTAAAAACATGCCCACCAACTGTTCTTGTGGCTTTTCCTTGCAAGTTGGGCACTCATGTGATTGCTTCCTTCCTTCTGCCATGAGGGGAGGAAGGACAGGAATTCCTGGTCATAGCCCTGGGCCCATCTGGAAGCAGCCATTCTAGGAGTATTTCTTTGCCATGCAAGCATGTGAAATTTTGAGTCTGTTTTAGAGTCAAGCCCGTGACTGTGGCTGCAATTCACCCATACAGTGAGTGCGCGAGGAGAAACACTCTAGCAAAGCATGCCGACTTTCGGTAACAGGTCGGTAAGCGATTATGGAGCAGCTTTGTTTTGACTTGTTCTTCTGGAGTGAGGTGCCCTATCTGGAGTGAGCACAATGCCGGGGTCTGAAGCTGCCTGACCACTTACCTCCTGGTGCTCATGTGGCTTTCTTTCACTCTCTTAGCAAGTGGGACTGCTCTTCTGTGTGCTCCCAACCAGAAACAAGTCTGTACTTGAAGCTGGGCATAGTGGTACACACCTGTGATTCCAGTTTCCAAGAGGCCGAGACTGAAGGAATGTAAGTGCTAAGCCAATCTGGGCTACACTGAGAGACGCTGTTAAAAACAATCAAGAGACTGGAGAGATAACTCACATGGTTGAGGGCACTTGCTGCTATTGTAGAAGAGCTGGGGTCAGTTCCCGGGAACACACCTGCATGTAGCTCAAGCCCCAGAAGATCTGGCTTCCTCTGCTGGCCTCTGTGGGCACCTGCACACACATGCTTCATATACACAAACACACACTCACATACATATGAATACAATTAAGTAAAATTAGAAAGACAGTCTTTAAAAGCATCAAGTCAGTACCTTTTGGATACAGAGTTTGGCAAAAGAGATCCTTACTAGAGTAGTTCTTATAAGAATTATGCATATAATTAATGTCACACTCTGGTTAATTCATGAGAAGTGTATGAGTTGATTTTTTTTCACAGTGATGTTCAATCAAGCATGCTAGCATTAATAATTAACAGCACCAAGGTCTCATAAGATTGCTGGCAGGTGCTAGGGTGCTGGAAAAACACTAATTTCTACCCCTTGCCAGCAAATTTTAATTTTCTTCTTGATTGTGGTAATCTAAGCATTGTAACTGATAGTTAAAGTAGACAATGCATTCAATTACATATATAATAATGTTTAAGGGGCTGATGATTAGAACTACATACAGATTCAAACAATATTTCAAGAGATGATTTGTTCAAAATATTGTTAAAGAACTCTTTAGGGGGCTGGAGAGAAGGCTCAGAGTACTTGCTGCTCTTGCAGATGACCTGGGTGCGGTTCCCAGCACCCACACTGGGTGACTTATAACTGCTTGTAGCTCCAGTTCCCCTGGGGAACCACTGCCTTCTTATAGCCACTATGGGCACAAGCATGTATACTTAAAATACTAACATTTAAGAACTCTTTAGCTGGGTGGTGGTGGCACACGCCTTTAATCCCAGCATTTGGGAGACAGAGACAGGTGGATCTCTGTGAGATCAGGGCCTGGTCTACAGAGCGAGTTCCAGGATAGCCAGGACTGTTACACAGAGAAACCCTTCTCAAAAACCAAAACCAAAACTATAGTTTAAAACTAAATAACAACCCTCAACAGCAATGTGTGAGACTTCACTCCCCCATAACAGCGCCATTTTGAACACCTACATCCCCTCAACTTGTACTTGGGGAGAACACTGTGACTATGCCAATGTGTAGTGAACAGAACAGACACTCAGACTTACGACTCTGGGCTGCAGAACGTCCCACAAGTCTGTGGTTCTTCTGAGAACTTCTCTTGGAAATTCAGGCACAAAGATTTGACATGCAGGGGTACTACTGTTGACTACCTGCAGAATGAGAAACTGCTGGACTTCCAAGCCTCTGTGCTGGAGTATGGACTTGCAGCATGGAGCCGGAGCAGTCTGGCATATGGAGATAAGGTGCTGTTGAAGCAAACCCTAAACCCCACAGCTCTGGGTTGGGAATGGGCATGGGAGAAGCTGGAAGGGCCCTAACCAGGTGATGCCTTATTGGGACCCTAAGGACCTTTTAGAGTCCAGGAGCGAGAACTGGAAAGAAAGTGAGGAACGTGTTACTGGAGACTGGGGGTGACAGCCTATCTTCGTCATGTAGTGGGGCTGATTGGTCTGTAAAGTGGACGGACATCACTCCAAGCAGTCAGCCACCTGGGCCAGTAGATCCACAGGCAGAATGCTGACTGGCTATGCACAAGAAGAGGAGTGAGGGGAGAATGGTCAGACATGAGGGTCAGGACTCGCTGGACACAAACATCACACTTCACTTCATCCATAAGCTCTCCAGATGGTCAGTTAAGTTGAAACGGAGCTACAAGGTTGCCACAGCCACACTGGAAGCCAAGGGTGTGACTGCAGATCTAACAAATCAAAGGAAGAGCCTTTCTATTAAACAGCAGGGCGCCTGGACCTTCGAGTGGCCACATCTCACAGGTACCCTGAAAGTGCCAGGCAGAAGGCTCAGAGTGACAGGTGAATGTGGCTTTTTCCTGGTAAAGTAGGGTGGAATTGAACACACAAAATTCCCTATGGTTTTAAACAGTTTGTAGCCTGGATCAAGAGGAACAGAGTAACACAGAAAGGGGTCACTTTCTCTCTCCACCCTCGAATGTGGAAATCAGGAAGTTGTCTTGATGTTACTGCGCCCCTGCAAAGGTGGACGGCAGTAATGGGAGCAGAGACTGGCGGGGAGGCAGCCTTCTCAGCAGGGCTCACCCCAATCACCCTCTACTGCCCCACTCCTGCATACCAGACCTACATCCACAAACACGTAATCTGTCTCTCCAGACTGCAGCTCCTCAGAACACCTCTCATGGACCCTCATGCATACTTGGCTCTGACAAGAAGATGCCACTGTGGAAGAGACCAGCAGTCCTGAAAAAGGGCTTAGGTGAACTGCTGTGGCCACAAGAGAGGTGGTGATCTGACTCTCCTCTTAGGGGACATGTGCAGGACTCTAGTGGCTGAGAACGCTGGGCTGAGAGAGGTGCAGGATTGCCGCACACTCTGCTTTGTTCCTTCGGACGCTTCCAGATGTGAGCAGAGCAAGCAACCATATGCACTGATATAGCCAGCACCAACTGCTAGGCATAGGGGATTCTCTTAAGGTACCTCTAGCCTTTGAGGAGCCCAGGCAATGCCGTGTAAACTGAGAAATTGTTCCTGTTGTAAGATGCATAAAATAGAAGACTAGTCAGTCTCCTAGGGTCACTTAGCTTCAGGCAGCTAGATATGCAGCAACAGAAAACCAGAGAAGGGAGTGGAAAAGAAATCACAGTATGATATCCATAAGGGAATACTGCTTAACCACAGAAATGAATGAGGAAGAAAAAATGCAACAAAACAGATGAATCTTCAAGGCCTTTGCTTAGTGGAAGTAGCTGAAGACAGCACAGACTGCATGTTTCTGCTAGAGCAACTGCGAACAGTCCAAGGTGAGCAAGAGACACAGGACATGCCTTGTAGGTGTGATTATGCATTACCAAGGGGGCTTATCTGTCAAAGGAACACAGGTAACACTGGTACCTGCCAAGGCATGTGACCGTTAATTACTATCCGGTCACTCAACACCAGAGAAACAGCAGACAGCATAACTTAAAAGCGCAGGACTAGAGTGAGCACAACTGAGAACAAGCGGTGGCTCACGGTCCTGGTAATGGAGGGGAGGGACCAGCTGCGTGAGCACAGTGTTCATCACGGAAGCCCTTCACACCCTACAGAGACTTTCTGGGGTGCAGTCTGGCTGCCTCTTTCATCAGTACTGCAGTTTAAACTCAGGGGCTCCCATAGTCCTGTCAAGTTCTCTACAATGAGGCACACCCTTGGAGTCTTCAATTATTTTACAGTTCTAGTAACAGAGAGTTGGACATATACTATGACATTTTCCGACTGAGCTTCATCCCAAAACATGTTTTTAATGCTGTCTTTGTAACAGGTATCAGTTAAGCGATATGCTTCAGGTATGTAACAAATCCCATTCACTCTGGCAAATGTGAAATATGGTTAGAACCAAAAGGTTTTAACAGGAAAGACATTCATAATGAGGGACAGCAAAGATGTCGACATCACAGACTGAGACAGGAGACGTCTCAGCAGGGGACCTGGAGGGCAGGACACACGGGCAGCAGGCTTGTCAGAAGGCCCCAGTGCAGCACAGTCCGGCTGTGTGAAGAGGATGCACGGGAAAGAACGTCTCTCCACCAAGCAGGAAGAGGCGGAATGAAAACTCCACAGACATGTATCAGGGAGTGCCAGGGGATGAGCCCAGCCACCCACCCAGTGTCACAGTTCCACGCTTGTCAGCCACATTTTCAGGTCTGAAAGCTTGAAACCTCCCTGAGTTCCCTGGCTTCTGTTCAACATGGCCAGAGCGTGGATATCCTTACTCATGCTTAAAAAGGAACAGCAAGCGAGGCCTGGAGGCTTAGGTAGAGACAGGCAGATTCTTGTGCCTGCTGGCCAGCCACCTTACCTGTGAGATCTGCTCCTCAACTCTTAGGGTGGCTAAGACCTGGAAAACTGCCAACATGGATGGCTTGCAGGATGCTCAGCTACAGACACTAGGACTTCACAGATTTCTCCAGACAATGACAGAATCACTCAACAACACCTTTCTCAGACACACAACATGTTAAGTCAGTTCATGACTGTTATTTATTCCCTTTTGTGTGGCATTTAATTACTTCACATTTAGTAATTTATATTTTTATAATTCATTCTCATGTACCAGCCAAACAAATATTCCATATTTTTACTAAGGTCTCATAATTTTAAGTTGGCAATGACTTTATTTTCAAATAAGAAACATTAAGGAATATTTGGATAGTCTTGCAAGTGAAGAATTGACTTAAATATTGTTTGGCATGCTGGAGAAGGAGTTACAAGCAACTTGCAATTAAGATGTAACCTTCTGAGTAACATGTTGTGGTGATAAATGTATCTTTTAATAGTAGAAAATGATAACTTACCATTTTCTAGTGAGACCGCAGAAGGACCAACTCTCTGCTGGAATTTCACCTTTTATCTATTGTAATTCTCTGGAAAGAGGAAGTCATGACTCATATGCATAGTTTCCAAGTACCAACTAACTAACAAATCAACCCCAATTGAGGCATTGTTTAGAATTTAGAAACTTTGAGAACACTGAGAAGCAAATCTTTGGGGTGGGAGAATTAACCAGTGGATACCAGGAAAAGATACAAAGTACTTTGCTGTCACTGAGGAGCATGTTATGAATATATTTATTTTGAGAAGAAATGCATTTCCATTGTGTAGAATAAATTACTCCTTACAACAAGAAAAGAGAAGAAAGAAAGAAAGAAAGAAAGAAAGAAAGAAAGAAAGAAAGAAAGAAAGAAAAAAAGGAAACCAGACCAAGTAGGTACTGGTTGGTGCTCCACTACCTCAAAAAGCCAAAGAAAAAGAAAAGGCTGGTCAGTCAATCAGAAATAAGGTGATGTAGCAACCTCAGTAACCTCAGTTGCTGTCAGACTAAAGCACCAAATGCTTAAGTATTTGTTAAACTGGTTGTTATCCTGGAAACAAAATAGACACGGTAAAGTAATATGAAAAGAACCTGAACTCGGGGGCTTTGGCAGACAGTATACTGTATACTGCTACCTTTAGAAAGGGCTTGTTCACAGGAATCCATGGAAGTGAGGACAGCCGCGGCCAAGGGAAGACAAAGCTGGGCGATGGGATCCACGCCACATTCCAGCTAAGGGGCTCAGCTTGTCCAAACAACTTACCCCTTTCTTGATTTATATGAACTTTCAAGGAATCATTTTAAAATGTTTACCTGGAGTCTTCTTCAGTGGTCAGATTTGACTCCCAGTGAAAAAAATATGATCCAAATATTTTGACAAAAGTATTTGATAGCCTATATGATTCTTTTCAAACCCAATCTTGGGGACATCCGGACCTACTTGATATTTGTATAGGGAAATGACATTAGCTCATTCTGTGTAACAGCCATGTTGACACTTCGTTGCCAGTGAGAATTAGGAATGAATTTTATGTATCATCATCAAAGAAGATGGATGTTTTTCCATTCCACGTGAATGCTAAAATTGGAACCTTTTTTTTTTTTTTTTACAAAAACGTGAAGAAAAATAACGTTTAATGCACACAAAAATTTATTCTCTGGAAAATTGAACTGCCATTAAAATATCCGTGGACTGGTGTAATTTTAACATTTTTACACACAGATCAGCAATTTCTTTATGTAATACAATTATACAAAAGGGAAAAGGCACCGTGACAGTCGGTGTAGAGAGCACAAAGGAAGGTATGAGAGTTAAAGGCAACAACGCACAGCGCCACTCCAGCAACACGAAGGCGGTTCGGTCGTCCACGCTACAGAAGGATGGCTCACACACTTGTCAGCGTCTAGTTTTGATCAAGTGCATATAAACACGCGACAACAGCACAACACTGCTGATGACCACATGGACATACTATGTACACGAGAAAGTCCACTCATGGGTGAGAGTCGCTAGCAAACAGGTTAGAGAGTTGAGACACAGGAAACACCAATAGGCAGCACATTTCTTCGGGTTGGTTGAGACAACTCTGCTCACAGAGCAGTTAAATGTTACCATTCGGTACACCTATTATTAGAAAAATAAGTAAGAAAGCTCCGTATAAACTAGACTATCAGGAAGCTTCTTGCCTCAAAAACTGAAAGAAAGGAAGAGAGGATGGGGAAGAGAGTAAGGAAAGGGGAAACTGAATAAAAAGACCCACTGATTCTGAGTTTTTCTATAAAAATTACATTAGTTTGAGAAGCAAAGTCCCAGTGCAGAGGTACCAAGCAGTGATGAACCTCTTAAGTTTTAGAAAAAGACTAAGTCCAACACTTAACAGATTCTTAAAATTCATAGCTCAAGCACTGAGAGACAGTTCTGATACACCACCGTATGTCGGAAGTCAGGATCAAGTCCAGCCAAGTTGCTGGGACGTGGCAGTCACTGCCAGCTGAGGCCAAGGCTGTCCCTTCTCTGTCAGCTTGAAGATGCCTCGGGATTGCGGTTTTGTTTCATCAGAAAGTTATTGAAACAAAACTATATAGACAGATAATAAGTGAATTTTAAAAATATGTTATTTCCATACCTTTTCTTGTGGTAAACTCAAATTACTTGTGAGTCCCGCCACACATTTCCAGCTGTGCTTGAAATAATCCCAACACTTGAGGGCAGCGTCAGTACACTTGTCAAAGCTGTTCTGGTTTCCTCTCAGCCAGGAAATGACAGTGCATTACAGGACATAGTAATATCCCCAGTTATTTATCCTACAAAACTGCCAGAAAGACATCATCACCTCTAAAAAGGCCTTTCTTTAACTTTATGGTATTAGCTTTAGTTTTGCATTTTTGGAAATAATTTTCTTAAAGCAACATGAGAGAGATTTGGAGGAGAGAGTAAGACACAATGGCCTCAGATTTTTCATTCCCAAGAAGCTGCCCTCCTCAGAAATGTTTCAATCACTCAGAAACTACAGACCTCACCACTGCTGCACTAAGGCTTTATCTATGGGTACGAAACTGCTGCCAACAACTGCAGATAAGAAACAAAGTGTTATGTCCCAGACTGCTCGACTGCTCGGGTAGAACTTCCTGGGGAGCTCATTCAGCCCTAGACTCTCAGGCTTTTCCTTTACACCTCTGAACAGAATCTCTGGACAGAACCTAGAGAGAATTCTTAGGTACATTACAAACTGGGGGTCACTTCTGTGCTTTCTGGGGTTCTTGGTGGGAGTCCACCTCCTATGTTTTCTCACTGTCTAGTACTAGTACTCAGGGCCAGCCCCTGTACATGTTGTTCTCTAGCCTCGCATCTTATGGGAAGACGTCATTCAATGCCAGTCTCAATACCGTAGCACACAGGATCGTGAGGGAGGGCTGTCCATCCATCCGACTTGTAGCCCCTACAACAGCGCACGGCACAGCGGGGATGCTCATGCATAGACATTAAAGGGAGAAAGAGAACTCAGTCAGTGAACAAGATTCACGAACAGTAGTGCCGACTCTACCAAAGAGATTTCATTCATCAGTACTTGCTGTGTGCAAACACTAACAACGGAGGGAAGGAAGCTAGGTGTGCATTCTGTAATATCAACAGAACATAAACGTGTGCAGAAAGGCAGCAATCTCTCCTCTGACTCCAACATGAGTGTGGGTTAGCAGATAGCCTGCCATTTCACAGGGTAGGAAAGTGTATACAGATAATGAAAATAACTTGGTCAAGAAGAACAACTGAATTGATATATTGTCAGAATACAAGTACAGTGTAGACACAGCAAACAAAGCTCAAGTCCTTAAAAATAAAAATCACCCCCAAATTATGATACCTAAATACCATTTGTCCTGAGAAGGCAAGCCCCTCGGCTGTCCCGAGAAGGCAAGTCCCTCGGCTGTCCCGAGAAGGCAAGCCCTCGGCTGTCCCGAGAAGGCAAGTCCCTCGGCTGTCCCGAGAAGGCAAGCCCCTCAAGCCCCTCAAGCCCCTCAAGCCCCTCAGCTGTCTTTTCACTCTCTACTCTCTCGGGCCTATCTCTGCCGTTCAGATAAGCTGGGCAGAAATTGCCCCAGCACAATGCTGCTTTTTTCACTCATAATAAAGAGGGTGAAGATACAATGTGCATAAGTGGGCTTGAAGTGACCCAAGCCTACTGTGGTTCACTTAAAAGAGGGGCAACCTTAGGGGGTTCAGCTCAGGTCCCCCAGCAGCAGCTTCTTCACAGAGAAAACACTAGTGATGCTACTTGCCTCTTAATATGTTGTGAGAATCAAATACAACAACCAATTATCGTCTCAGTTCCTGACTAAGTTATAGCTGTAACACTGTCAGCGCTGTAGCGTGTTTGAAGGGCTTCCCTGCACGCCCCACCTTGTCTTAGCATCAGACTGCCGGTGACAATGACACGGATGGTCACTCTCCAGTGCCAGATGAGGAGGAAGAAACGGATTATAAAGAGAGTAAGAGAAAGAAACTTAGGAATAACAACCAGGAATGTAAATTTTTCTATGAATTCTCCAGTCTATGGACATAAATATTTCTGCTAATGAACTTTGTGTCTTTCCTATTGATAGCTGAACAAGGATTTTGAAAAAACTGGTTGGTGACCACTGGTCTTCTACCAAGTACACTTTAAACAACTCTCCTGTTTCTTAACTCCCTAGAAAGCTATGATAGCATTTGTATTCCTCATTGTCAAGGACAGCCTAGACTGTTTCTGTTTGTCTAGTGATGTGGTCAGACTCCCAGGCACTGATCACGCTCCTAGCCCAGGAGGAAGCGGTGATGTAACACAGAGAGCTGTGTTTTGCACAGATCAGATCTGACCCCAGCCAACGCTCAACTTCACAGTAGCACAGTCATCCAGGCAGTTTAAGTATTTTTTCTTTTTCTTAAAACATGGTCTAATAAATAACTTTTGTTAGTCAACACAGTACTCAGAACTCATCAAAATGCAGTGAGATAATATGCAGCTGTAATTTCAATACAAGGTGGTTGGTACTCGGGCTCCACAATTACAGAAGCTTGCTTCTGAGGTCAGACAATACTGCGCTCCTGGACAGCAGCCCACAGCCACACTGAGGAAGCTGAGACTACCCCATATTCCAGTCAGCTGTGGAGTCTGGATATTTCATTTGATTTTAGCAAGACAGTAAGAGTGTAGACTGTCATTTTCAAGATTCTGAGTCAACATCTGTGACTCAGATAATTTGGGAAAGTATTTACGTAAAATCACAGGAGAGAAAAAGATGCATATTTGTGTATCTGTGGCAGAATGGCAGCACTTGGCTTTAAACCTAATATCACATTTAGAAATTTTACAGAGGAGAAACAGCAGCCCATGGCCTGCAGAGGAACGCCTTCCTGTCGGGTTACGTGGAAAGGCGGTACCTTCGCCTTTGCCTGTGCGCAGCACACTGTGCTGTGTGTGCAGTTACAGGCACACCCAATTTATAATCATTGAGGACTTGGAAAATGGACAGAGGGTGGGAGGTCTGTTCCTGAAGTTAGAGAAGACTGAAATCACGTTCCAGGCTGTACATGAAGGGACACCTACAACAGACACCCCTGAGGATCTTTGGGAGTACCTACAGTTCTGGGCAGGCTCCAGAAAGGAGGGTGAACAAGTAACAGGTTTTCCTCTCCACACAGTGAAAGCACCAAGCTGGTTTTATAATGTCCAACTGAACTTCGTCACAAACAAGACCAGTGACTTTGTTTAGGAAGACAGCAGTTGTTAGTCACGAGGGTGACTGTTTCAAAGCAGGTAAAAGCTCACTTAGCATCAAATGCCTGCACCCAATTTTCAGAGTAACCTATAGCCTTCTTCACATTTTGCCTTACTATGTTCTTCAATAACACTTAAAAAAATAACAAAAGAAAGAAAGAACACCCTCTCTCCCCAAACCAGACCTGGAATGCTCACTAGTCGAGTGGTAGAGGGGCCTTTTCTTTATTTTGGTGGTGAACCTGGCCTTCAGTGGCTGAGCCATATCCCCAGCCCTAATGCTGTCTTTTTAATGCTACTTTTTTTTTTTTAAAGTTCTCACTCTGTAGTCCAGGATGGTTTGGCTACTGTCAAACTCACAGCAATCCTCCTGCCTCAGCCTTCCAAGTACTAGCATTACAGGGATAAGCCACTATGCTGGGCTCTGAAATTTCTGCCTTTTAACTAACTTCATGCTTTCTGTCTGTATCTTTTCCTCTTAAGATTCTGTGTTTGAAAGCAAAGAGATGCCTTCTTTTAAGCTAAAATGTAGGTGCTCAAAGCCTTCCGGGTGTGTTTAAGGCCTTTCAGTACTATTACATTCTTACCCGTCAGTGTGCGGCTCTGCTAGTCTGGGTTCGGTGAATTCTAGCTCACAGTAACAGTACAGAGTGCTCAGCTGGGATCAAACCGCGACACAACTTTTCATTAGTTGGTAAATAACACATTTTTGTCAGGTTGAACGAGGAATGTGAAAGAGCAGAAGGAAAACCATTTCACAGACACAACATGCTCTAGTAAAGCATAGACATACCATTTCTGTCAGGTAAGAAGGAAAACTAAAGGAAAATAGCTTCTGTTATATCCAATTGGCCTATGGTTTCTAAATATGAAGACAAGACCAGAAAGTGCTCGACCATGAGGAGGCCAGCAAGCGCGCTGCCTCCCACGCTGCAGAGAGCGGCATTGGCATGGCAGCTGAGGGCTTCACTCCTGTGAGTGCTGAAGGCCAAGTTTGCAAATACGGCTTCCCAGCTGTGTAAGCAAGGTCAACTTGCATGAAAGGCACAGGGTGACATCACGCTGAAGACGTCACAAAACCCAGCACAAGTCACTAGAACACAGGGATCTCAGAATGCTCCTAACTGTATTAAAGCTGAGAACCACAAAGAAATCAGAGTGAATAAGGACCCCAGGAGCCTGTTCCGATGCTGCCTGCAGGCTCAACACTAGGAACAGATAGTCAAAACTCCTTTAACTAGAATGTGTTCCATTTGCAACAATTACCCACCATGCCTGCCACATCACACAGCTGCGAAAACTGATCATAAAAGCGATTCCAAATGAGAGTTTGCTCTACCATTTTCTCCATTGGGACATAGAGTACACAAAGGACTCGACCATAAAGTTATGAAGTTTCTGCAGTACAGTCAGAAAAGTTTGCAAGGGACCAATGGGGCATAGTCTCTTTGGAATAAATAAATAAATAATAGATAGATAGATAGATAAATAAATAAATAGAAGCAAAGACAAACTTCAAAGAAACCAAGCTTAAACTTTGCTTCGGGGAAGTTTGCACTTGGGTTTAGTACTATAAGAAAGACTGAGGCACAGAGGACCACATCTGAGATGAAACTATCATCAGTGTGAACGAGCCTGGAGATGTGACCGTGATCGCTGAGCTTCATCCAAGGACTGGCCGACATAACGCTTTATGGGTAGTATGTGGACGATGATATGCAGTGCTACAATGGAAATTTTGGTTTAAAAACCACAATCACCACAAAATTCCTAGCTTTTTCACTAAATAAAATAAAATTCAAATCAAAAGCATGTACTTCAATTTCTGGAGGACTGCTGGACACTGACAAATTTCTTGGTTTCTCACAGAGCTCTACCAGAGACAAAGCCCCGTTCCCTCAGCTCAGCACTGATGGTCCTTCCCAAAGAGTGGAGCATTGTGGCAGGGTGTCGACGAGGACTCTTCAGGGAGCAGCTCCTTGCTCAGGACTCCAGCAGGGTGTGCCACCTGCACACTTGCTGTCCCTTGGACTCCTTCATTGCAGTCCAGTGTCTGAGCTCCTCCTCCCCAGAGCTGTTGAGACCTAAGGAAATCCAGCCTATCATCTCCTTTCTTTTCATGCTGCGCTTGTTATACACAGACAGTATCAGAGTCACATCAGAAAGTTGAAACAAGGCCACTTGAAAAACAAAAGTTTCCTTGTACACCGGGTTTGGCTGCCCTCTGCGGGTGGATGTCTTGCACTTGGACATCTCTTGGCCCATGGAATTCAGCAGTGTTAATTTAACATATGTATCTGAAGGAAGAAAACCAACACACCACAAATATCATTTGAGACAAACTGACAGTTTTCTAATGATAAAAGCCAAGATGAGGTAGTCAGGCTTTATAAGGATATGGTGTATACCATGTTGGATGGAAACTGAACTAACTCAGCTTTGATGCAGATGCTTATTAAATATGGGACAAGTATAAAGAATGCTAAGTTGGCTGAAAGTCTTGGATAGTAGCAATGACTTAGCCTCACTGTTTCTAGGAATGGAATTTAAAGGTATACCTCATAATCCTTCCTTCCCCCTCCCATCCCTCATCGGCCTCCCCTGCCTCCCCTGCCCATCACCACCCTATTTCACTCCACTAAGCAGGACATCATAGCATCAATAGACACTTAGCAAGCTCAGTTAGCCACGACACTACAGCATTCCACTGTTCTCAGAGAAGAGAGTCAACAAACAAATAGAGATGGAGGCAGATGGAGAGGAGGAGGAGGAAGACAAGAACGCAAAGGTGACACTGAAACAGCTTAAGATGAAATGTCAAAAGAATCTCTGCATGGATGTGGTTTTAAAATACACATTGAAAATATTCAAGGGTCCAAATGAAGCCAAATGTCTTAAAGGGAATCAATGTTTAGCAAACCAAGTAAAACTTTCTTTCAGTTTCATGCAAGAGTACATTTAATGTGCTTTTTGGGGGGTTGATGGGGGATAGTTAAATACTATTGGGTTTCTTTCAGGCATAATTTAATGTAAAATTTTAAGAATGATATTTTAATTATTTTCATCAATTGCAAAGACACTGGCATGATGTTTAGTGTACAGAGTGAAATGTAACACTTCAAGGCCTTTTTACACGGGAGATATATTCTCTTTAAAGACTTTCCAAGTCTGTTAGACTCATGCAAATGGTCTCAGCATGTTGATCCATCATGTGTACTTTATATCACAATTAAAGATAATTGCAATGGTCTCATGAGATATCTGTTTCTATCATAAATCAAACTACAAAGAAATAAAAAATAACTTATCTTAAAAGGTTTTGCTCATTTGTTGATATTCTGAATACCATCATCCATAATCAGAGATAAAGTCTAAGTTAGTTTCATTTAAAATACCACAGATAAAAATGTGCATTGTTTTGGAAACCAACATGGTGGACAGTCTCACTGCTGGCAAGTTTTAGGGCATTTTGTTTTGCATGAAAAGACAACATCCAATTAGCCTCTACAGGAACTCACCTCGGATTATATAAACCTGTCCACCTATCAAGTGTTTTAGACAACAGAACAGTCCATCTGACAACAGGGGGTGGAAAGCAGTAAAAGAAATAATGACCAGATGTCAATCGTTGGGTGAAAGAGGGTCAAAGGTCAGAATTAAAGAGGAAACACTGTGCACTTGAGTGGAAAACACAAAACTTTAGCATTTTAATTCAAGTAGAGGGTTGAACAAAGGGCTGTTTTATAAATTTCAAGGAATGAAAAAAATTTAACATCATTGTGTAATCCTAAACAAAAATTACACTGTTTTAAGAGGGGGACATATTTATAATGGTATCTTCTTGGTCTAAAGCACATTGAACATATAGAATCATGCAAACTATCAGGCTATAAAAGATTGGATACAATCATTATAGGATCACTACTATTGTGCTATATTTTAATTTTACCCATGCAACATTTAGTATTTCAAATAGTCTGATTACTCCCAATATAATCAAGAACTCAGTTATGCAAAACGAAATGCGGCTATCAGAATACGTGCTTGTGAGTGCTGCTGCTCCTGTTTCTCGGGGAGGGGGGGTCTGAGGTTACCCAGCTTACAGCAGTTCAGACCCCGAGTATCAGTGAAGGGCTATAATCTACGGTTTAGGACATGCTGACACAACTGTCTTCAGTTTTGCTCAGCAGCTATCTGGCATGTCTTTTACAAATGCTTTACCCTCATATCACTATTTCAAAAGCTGGCTTCACTTATTTAGTAGTGACTTCCTAGCTAAAGACACTGACCAACCGGAGGCTGAGGATCTGATTCTAAAGTATTGGCAACTTCTCTCACCCCTCTGCCCCAAGGACAGACTCCATGCAGGCACACAGCAGTCTTAACATGCTTCCTATCCACCCCTGCATCTGCTCCCTTCATTCTGACTCCCTGTGCTGCTTCTAGGCCACACTATCATTTCATTTTGCTACTCCTGACATGTCCAGTTAAGAATTTGTCAACGTTTATTGAACAGCCATCTTAAGTGGGAGGCACAGACTGACGTGCATCTTTGTCTCGTGGTGCAGTGTTACACGGTCATTGGGTCTGTGTCTTGTGTTCAGATAAGCACATGCGGTTGTCATGACCTCACAAGCTCACATGTGTTCAGGCTCTCTCCAGCCCCTTGTGGAGAGAGTCTCAGTGTGTTTGCAAGGAGACAATCAAGTTGCACTCCCTAGCCTGCTTGGTCTCAGAATGTCCTTTTACTCACTCAGTTTCCTTTGAGATGAGAGAGTGGATGGTACTAATGCACTTTTATGTACCTTCGTCAGATCTGATTCTCACAATTACCCTGTAAAAGATAGAAACTTAACTTTACCTATTAAGAAACAGGCCTGCAGGGTCAGGCCATTTGTCTATGGAGGTTATAATTTTTCTCTTTAGATAGCTCTTTTAAATTTTTGAATTATTATTCTGTGTGTCTGTGAGTGTTTAGCTACATGCTTGTCTGTGCACCGTGTGTGTATCTGGTGCCTGCAGAGGCCATAAGAGTGGACTGGATCCCTTGGAACTAGAGCGCTGGACGGTTGGGAGCTAACATGTGGGTACTGGGATTAAACTGAGTTCTCTGGAAGAACAGCCAGGGCTCTTCACTGCCGAGCCATCTCTTTAGCCTTGCCCTCCAGGCTTCTCAATTTACGGATAGATGTATTCTGTGATGCATGTCCCAACACTTCTTGGCATAAACCTATTATCTTTTAATGATGTTTCACCTGCATTGAACAATGGATTTTTATGGCATTTAAAAGCAAAACTAATGTAAAGGATAGAAAAAGCTCCCCCTCTGCCTGCACCCTGATTAACAGTGTATTAAGGAAGTCTCTTAGAAATCCGTAAACAAATTTAAGCTATTAATCACTCGCAATTTCTATTCAGAGTTTCAGTCAGGGCACGAACAGGTTTAATCTACAGAAATTTAGAGGAGCTGTTCTGTGCCCATTTAGAACTGGCTCACAGACATCAACAGTAGAGCGGGGTGGGACAATTTCTCTGCACCTCCCACACCTACTCTCATCTTCAGAGGAGAGGACAGGGACAGTCAGAGCAGACAAATGCCCCTCACTCCCACTCAGTCTTGATCTCATTTGTACTGGGAAGAAAAGGCAGCTGGTTGTGTAGGGGGATGATTTTGTTTTTTACTTTTGTGTGGTGCTGTGCTAAAACCTAGGCCTGCACATGCTAAGCACATGCTACCCACTCAACTACATCCGCAACACCTGTGATTTCACAGAAGAAAATTCGAGAAAATATTTTCTTCATGAGGTGTTAAGGGTAAAGGAAGGGAAATACAGGAGTAGATACATTAGTTCAGAATACTGCACACGGACAGGAAATACGACACTAATCTCTAACTAACAGAAGCTGCATGTATTTCTTTCATTGTGAATAGTAGTCATTTTTTCAAGTCCTGTAACTTCTTCTGGCATTAAAAGATAATGGCTATAGTAGGAATAATTTATTCTGCAGACTATAAAAACTTAAAATTTATGTTCCCATACAATTAATATTTTGAATTTCACATTTTCTACTTCCCAAATGACTGGAAATAGAAAACATGAAACAGATTGGCTGATGATTCAGTGTTTCATTGTGATTGGTTAAGACTAAAACGATGTGAAGCCCCTAAGTGCAGAAAGCATTAAGTAAACATAGTTGGTTTTCACTCACTGGGTGGTCTGTTTGCTGCCAGGTTTTTGAAGTGGCTGCCTTTGATGACTTCTGCTGATAGCCGTCCCGTGGTGGCATTGTAAAGGAGCCCAATGAGGATCTCTGGAACGGAGCCGTGTTCAAGGGACTGACAGGAGGATGTACTTTCACCACAGGACACTTCTGACAAGCTCACCTGGGAGTCACAGCCCTGGGGAGCAAATGTGAAATGTTACAGTATTTTACAAAACACAGATCATAAAGTGTACCATTGGCTGGTGTGGTGGACAGCACGCAGGATGCAGAGGCGGGCGGCTCTCTTCTGTCTAGACAATGAGCTGCAGGCCAGCCAGAGCTATGGTGAGACCCTGTCTCAAACACTACCACCACCAAGTACAACAAGAGAAATAAAATGGCAGTGCTGTGTGTATTGAAATCACATCACGAAAAAGACAAGGGTGGGAACACACACCATACTCCCAAACACTCAATTAGAAATAGTCTGTAGACATTTCAGTCAAGTAATAGATGATATTCCTGCAATAAACTCTATTTATTTATTTTAATCATTCATTTATTCATTCATTCATTCCCGTGTGCCTGTGCCCGTGCCCACACAAATGCATGTGGTCAGTATGTTCTGAAAGTCACAGGGCAGCCAGCAGGGCTGGTCTCTCCTTCCACTGTGTGCCCATGGATTGAACTCAGGTCGTCAAGCTGTCAGCACAGAAGCCTTTACCCACTGAGCCATCTCAACAATTCCACAGTTTCTTCAACATATGCATGGTAATGAGAGTTATCAACCTTAAAACATGGGTGTGAATTTAGATTTATTTACAGTAAACATCTCAACTATATTATTAAAGACAAAGATTGGCATGTGTTGATAGATAAACAAAATTATCTGCCATTCTTATGCCAATATCTAAAATAAAGAGGCAGAAAAGCAAAAAAAAAATAGTAAAATTTACTATGCATACATAACCATAAGAAAACTGATGTAGCTGCATGTTTCCTTGAAAACTAGACCATCATCAGAGGTGAAGAAGTGCACCATACCATCGATACCTATTCAGGTCTTCAATGGGCAACTGCTTTGAATTCAGAAAAGGCTGATTTGGTAATCACACATTTGCTAGAAGTTATGGCTATCCAGGATATACCTGTACAAATACAGACAATGGTCTAGCATGTCTCTAATAAAATAAAACAGGTTTTTGCTTTTTACAATATAAAGCATATTACAGGTATATGACATAATCCTACATGACAAGCAGTTGTAGAAAGCTCAAACTGAACTCTAAAGGATAAACTAAATAAATAGAAAGGGGTAATAAAGACCATCAAGGAACAGATTGCACAATGCCTTATTAACTTTGAGTTTTCCAAATGCTAACGAGAAAGGAACAACAGTTGCAGACATTGGATAGTAGGAAAAAACTAAAGAATTAAATCAGCTGATATACTTTAAAGATGTATTGAACTCAGAATGGAAACCAGGACATGTGTTATGTTGGAGAAGAGGTTTTGCTTTTGTTTCCAAAGAAGAAGAAAAGCTATGGATACCATCAAAATTTATAAAGATTTGATTTGAATGAGAGACCTCTTAACTGAAGAGGTGATAGTTCATGAAGCAGCATGGCCATTTGATCTAAATTCACCTATAAAACTGACAAATGCTTCTCATTTGATCAGATAAAACTCGCCAAAAGGGAACCTTTCCAAAATTAGGGTTGGGGAAGAGTTTTGTTCTGTCTTTTCAGGAGAATAAAGGAAGCCAGCTAAGGAATCTGAGGACTACTGGACAAATGAGACATCTGAAGAAAAAGGACAAATCATCCAGAAAAAAAGTTCCATGAAAAGGAGTAAATTGGCCTATTGGTATATCACATTTCCAACAGGATAAAATTTCATAAACCTTCCCAAATGTTTGTTTCTGCTGTTCTCTACAGTCATATAATGCAAATGGTCTTTTCATAGTCCCAGTCCAGTTAAAAATTAAAGATGGCTTTGGAGTTAGAGCATGGGTCTCTCCTTCTCTAAGCCCAAGCATGCTTGTTAAAGTAAAATCCAAAATCCCTGTCTCATGTCAGAAGAGCCATATGATATGGAAAAGAAGAAAAACAAAAATTTAGGGACTATTGTATTGCCACTAATCTCATAATCCTTTGTTCTTATTTAGATTCTTTAAGGCTTTTCTTAAGATATAAATATTATTTCCAAGTTTATAAGGTTAATATACACATATCTTATATATAATCTTAAACTGTCTGTCATGATATTAATGATCATATAAAGTACTAGTCTCAGAAAACGGCTTTATCTACCTTCCTATACGTGATTTCGGGTTTGAGTGCCTATCAAGTAAGAGGGAATTAAGTTTTTGTACTCTGGATGCACATAACCAATAGTGATCCTTTAACCTTTTTGAGACCTACTGCATATGACGCTTAAAATAAGTTTTCTGCAGTGAACCAAAACCATGCCTAACAGTGACCTTTGAAATCTCCAAAAGGAGAATGAGGCCCCATAATGATGATTCCTCCAGGACTATGATAATACCACTAAGCTGAAAATACCACCTAAATATTGGCTTTGTTCTACAAACTGCTCAGGAGAATTTCGAGTTGGCTAGCTGAGATGATACAGCCTCACAGATTACTCTAGCCAGGACTTTAGACAAGTCTGTACTTACCCACTATGCAGAGACTGGACAGCAAATGATGCTGTGTTCTGCAGGAGTCATGCAGTGAGATTTCAGCTGATATGGCAGAAGGCTGACGCACCAGAACAAACATTCTGATGGAGGCAAACCCAGCTCGCAGGGGGCCGGGCCTACCACCTTTTACATATTGACTGATTCTCACAGTGGATCTCTTGTGAAACCATTAGCACTCTCCCTTGGTGTAAGATTCAGCAGAGTATGGATTATTGGGCACGATTCTTTCTCATGAATGGGTATATTGGGTCATCCCCCCCAAATCTGTGGGACTTCCAGTGGAAAATTTAGCCAAGCACTCAATAACCTTGGTTCCCACAGTCTAATCTCCACTTTTTTTTGTTCCTTGAGATGAATTAGAAGCCACCTCCCTGCAACTATCTTCCATTTGTCAGGACATGCAATTAGGAAAGGATTTTTTCATATAGATCACATTAGGAACCTTCAAAGATAAAGGGACATCTAAACTCAGAGAATTGCCTTTATTTTGCCTGTGTATATAAACTAAAAGCTTTACAGAATTAAAAGAGAACAGCAGAAGAATAAAGAAATGGATGCAGAAAAAGTATGTAGTATAGGAGAGTTCGTTTCACCCTCAGATTTAAGTCCTGTGCTTGCTATGAGTCTTATTCTGGACCCTGAAAGGGACTGAGGCTTGCACTCGGAGGTGTAGTGATAAGGCAAGCAGGCCTGCTTTTCATCCCGCCTGGCTCCTGCAAGGCTAGCTTAGTCTGGGAAATAATAACATGGAAACTGTATTCATTTAAACACTGCTTGGCCCGTTAGCTCTAGCCTCTTACTGGCTAACTCTCACATCTTGATTAACCCATATCTATTAATGTGTTAGCACCACGAGGTGGTGGCTTACCGGGAAGATTCTAGCCTACATCCGTCTTGGGTTGAAGAATCACGGTTTCTGACTCACTTCCCTTCTTCCCAGCATTCTGTTCTGTCTATTCCACCCACCTATGTTCTGACCTATCAGGCCAAGCAGTTTATTTATTAATTAACCAATGAAAGCAACACATAAAAAGAAGACCCACCTACATCACAGAGGTCCCCAATAAAATGGTACATCTTGACAATTAACCCAAATTTTTCTTTTCAGGATTCCCCTAAAGATGCTGCTGTCCTCCGACAGCAGGAAGAACACAATGCCCACATTACCAAGAGATGGGGTGGGTGGTTTTTGGTCTTTCATTGGGTTATAAATATTTGCCACAGTTTAAGGGAATTGGTTCAAAGGTGTTATTGGTAATAGTCTGGAAAAAATAGATTCAGAGTTCCTGTTTGGAAAAAAAGAGGGGCTATAGATACAGTAGGATATAAAGATAGATTATTGAGTTTACTCTGAAAAGAAAAAAGAGGGATATAGAAATAGGACAGAATGGTACATTACTGAATCTACTTTTAAACAAAAAAGCAAATACTTGTTTTAAATATTTTACACTGATATGAATCTTTGTATATTGATACAAATTTGAGATTAATTTTGTTAGAACATAATGCACATACATTTTAAAACTTGTTCAAGGTATTGTACCTATACAGCTCATTTGATAATGTATTGCAAATTTCTTGTCCTTAAAAAGTTATTATTACCAATTACTTAGCATACAAAGAAATGCAAGTAAATAGTTAATAGTTACAACCAAATTTTTTGTGATATTAGGTATGTTTCCAAGGTCAAAAAGATATATTTTAGATAGACAGGTCATCTTCAAACACTTCAGAGATTTACAGAATATAGCATTTAAGGTGTTTGAATAACATAGGTTTCTTTTTTTATGATAATGAGACATGTCTGCTCCAGTCTACTTCAGAGAAGATGATGGGCATCAAAGAAACTCCCCATGGAGTTTACTTTCTTTGTGCCAAAAGTTAGCAACTGGGCAAGAAAGTGCCCTTGCCTCAACTGCTGACAGTATGCTGTCCAAATTGGACATGTGGGACACAAAGAGAGTGACTGCTAAGCCTTGCCAGGACAAGGTAGGACAGTCCCTCAAGAATCCTGCTTTATAGAAAAGTCTGTAGAATAGTCTAGGCCTGTAAGCTGAAGATGGATGCCCCAATGTTGCAGAGGAACTTTAGGTGACTGTTCAGGCAGTCAGCTGTTTCTGTCATTTCTCACATTTTTTGGAAGTTGCTTGCTTGCACTTCCTGCTTACTCAGTATTATTTCCTTCTCAGGATTCTGATAGAGTTTAAGACTTTGTAGTTATAGTTCTCCTTTGTTGCCACATTCAGAAAAGAATTTTACTAAAGAAGTATAAAGTGTATAGTTGAGAGACATTAAAAGATAGTTTTGGTAATGCAATTTAGAATAAAAAGTGAATTAGGTACAAACTTTTAGACAGATATGGAGTATTTTCCTCTGAATTTGTCAGTTGCTAATGGACTAGATATTGTTGATGTATTTACCTGTATATATTATAGTTATTGTACTTATATATAGTTTTTCTTATATTAGTTATAACCTTTTTTATTTTAGAC